AACAACTTAAATTAATGTGGTTAAAAAACGAACGCGTTAATAAATTTAGCAAATGCGAAGTTGCGAACTTTGATATTAAATAAAGGTCGAGGGAAATTGAAAATTAAATACAAAATAACCAAAATTCTTGTCTTAGATTTTACCGCAGATCAATTTCAAAAAGGCATATGGCGTAGAAAACGCAATGGCGTAGAAAATTAGTTGCGACAGATATTAGAAATTCTGGACAAGATGTCTGTTTTTGTTGGACTGAAAACCTACAGAAGTACAGTACTACAGGTGAAAATTCTGCAGCCATTTCATTAAAAAAAGCCCGTGAAAAAATTAATGCGGTATGCATTATATGTTTGCCTATCGAAATACGATAACACAATAGAATAGAGACGAATTCGCGCTTAACGCTAATCTGCTATCCCGCTGAGGGCATGTCGCGTTGTCGACACGGGAAAGTCGCAGAAAGTCTATGTTTAACAGAATCCTAACGCTCTAGATGAACAAAATAAAGGTTTTATGATGCAGGCTTTAGAGAAACAGCATTCAATTACATTGTATTCGGAAAGAAATTAATAAATTAATGAAAGACAACTTGTTTCTTTTTAGGCCGATACTGCGATACGCAGGAGCAATTTCTCGCCGTAAAATCGTCTGGCGTTAGACAGCTAAAATAATAAAGTAAGGCGCAATACAACTGAATGGCTTAAACTGCTAAAAGAACTGTTATTTCTATTGAGGAACAAACTTGAGACCATTTTTTCTGGTAACTTTATAACAAGAGATACGGCTGGTAGATCTTTCCCCTTGATAAGTGAGCGCCATGTTATCTAAAAAGTAATGGCGGGGAAATTGTAAGCATGGCCAACAGTTCATTCTGCCGACACTTTGCTTGCAACCACTTTTGAGATGACATGGCTCTGTAGTACTGTGTTGGAAATTGTCTTGCAAGTTCTGTTGCAGTGAAAATTGCCTCGTGCCACATTGCTTTTAATAAATTGTCGTCCAAAATGGGATATCCAACATAGAGGGAGAGCTTTGCTGTTGTTTCGAAGCAATGCAAGATTAATTGAAAACTGTTACATAACTGGTTTGGTTAAAATTTCATTGGTTCAAACACAGTCAGCTTGCTAAGCGTACGACCACAAAACAACATATATGGGACAGCCAAATTGGAAATCTCCCCTTTGCTTCAGCAGGGATAACTGATGTAATATTCTGCCGTAAAGCTGTAGCTAAAAGTCAGCTGCCACATTGTTCCTACTTTATTTTCCAGGAATAAAAATATGCGTAATTGATGAAAATCATTATACACAAGGAGATTAATAATGTGCAAGAGTCTCTAGTCTTATTTTGATGGTAAAATTAAAAAGATTAAAATTAAAAGTTAGGTTGCACATTTGCGGCATATTGCTGCTAAAGCTCTTTGAATATTCAAATATTTCTACCACTTTACAAGACAAATGATGAAGCTGCCATTACAAGTGCAACCAGCAATTTTACTCAACCACGTGATGAACATTGATTGTGCCTTGCTGTTTAGAAATCAAACTAAGTTTATAAAGACCTATTCAAAACATCAGAGTTTTGTGGTTGCAATGCTCTAAGTGATCTAAGCATGCGACTGTGCAACCCCCTTTCAAAAATTAAACCACGAATATGACTTTTGAGATATTTTTCAGGTATTTCAGACACCTTAACCACGACAACTTATTTTAGAATACTACCTTAACACTGGACCACCACATTTGAGATGTATTAGGTATAGTTAAGACACAAACCACGACACTGAGCTTATTGTACAATACTTACCCACATTTTGTTGCATTGTGCGGGCTTTATTATTTTACTCTGTCTAAATGCCAGACAACTTTATTCATCGAGGGGAGAGCTGCGCCCCAGAGAAGTTGTATGTGGCCCAGGGCCAGAAGAAGCAGGATTTTACAATATATTATTACACTTCATACATATAATTATCCAGCACAACATTGCTAGAATTTTATTCTTGGTTAAGCAAGCTTGTATCAAGTACATTTGTTGCTCTGGGGCCCTTTTGGGCTGCGGGTCGGTGTATTCAAGTAGTCCAGACACAAACCATGGTGTGTTATTGTATAATACTATCTACACAGTGAACCCCACATTTGTGAGATTGTTTTTGAGTAAAAACCTTGATGCTAATTGATAAATACTTTGTTAAGCAATTGAGTCAAAGTTGAAAATTTGAATGAATAATCATAATTGACAACAACATCAAAGTCAATTCAGCCGGGCTTTAAGGTAGCTCAGTCGACAAAACATTCTAGTTCATAGAATGGCTAAATTATGCTATCCTATTATATAAAAAACCCTATTATCTATAAGGGCATCATAAAAAAAGTTGATAAACATTTTTTGCCTCTAATGTCATGACAACATACATGCTAACAAGAGCACTTGTGTTTCTGTCGAGTCAAGTATTAATAAATATTAACCGATTGGTTGGTAGTACGGCAGGGTTATAATCCTCCATACTGCACGTAAACTTTGAACAGAAAGTTTGTTTTCAAGCCCAAAAATTGACTTCATTTGTTTAGACACTTAATGACGTCTTGTTATAGTCCCAAAATGTGGCAAGCAAAATAGACAATTTACATAAGCTTTTAAATGCTTGCACAAAATAAAACCCCATTTGAAAAGCCAACCAAACGTTACTTAGGTCGTGCCTTGACACGAAAATGCTCCACAAAAGCACACCACAATAAACACAACCGATTTCAATAGAATTTTGCCATTTAACGATTACACAAGCCCGAACACGAATTGCAATTTTGATAAATGCGAAAGCGTGGTTAAATATTAATAGCAAAAAGGACGTTGTATTTTGTTTATAGACCGAACGAATGATAATAAAAGGTCACCGAAATATGCCACAGTAAAGCAGAGACTTTATTTCTTCGCTTAAAATCTTTCCCCAAGCAAAGATGGCCATTTAAATCTCTATAAATCGATTTTCCTACAACATTTATATGCGCAGGCACAATGTTAATTTGTAACTATACAGAGCTAAATTTCTGAGATATTTAAAGTAACCTGACACTATTTCATTAATCGTTTATAGTAAAACGACGTTTGAAACAAAACTACAACTAGTTTGTTTGAAATTTAAGCAAGCAGGAACACTTTTCGGTGCGAAAACCAGCCAGAAACGGGGGTGGCATTTGCTGCTCAAAATTCTAGCTCGTGGATGCTTCGATATTTTCCTGGCAACTCATGCTAATTTCGCGCAAAAGCGCGCTATATTTACAACTTAAGAACACAAAGTAAACCCTTAGTAAAATTGGGTAAGATTTCTAACAATTTACACATTTCCTTACCTGTTTTTTCGAGGGGAAAGAAACATTATCGCCACATCTGCTGCAAACGCGACGTTTACAGTATTTGCACGCTTTCCCGATGCCATCGCTGAACTTTGTTTTGTGACAAAGTTCGCACAAATTCGCCTCTTTTGTGTCTTCGGTCGTGGGTAAATCTTTGCTTTTCACCTCAAGTTTATTTTGGAAAGTCTCTACTTCCCTTGCAAGCAGCCTAAAGCAAGAAAACAACCGTTTTAAACTAAGCCTTTGCCCGAGTTTTATATACCATGGTTTCAAACGGCGTCCATTTTCGCCACGGCGATGCAGTGTACATGTAATTTTACACCAGACGAAATCCTAGACAAAGAACTAAAGAAGGGTTTCCTCGGAGCGAAATATTTCATGCTTGAATGCTTAGCACTAAAAACAAACTACATGGTATGAATATTCGCCCTTAAACACACACAAAAAGCCCCTGTGATCGCCTATAAATACACGAATTTGCCCACCTTTGCAATTTGTGAGTCTCTGCATCACAAGCTTTCTGCCGTTGTATAACGGATTGTATTATGTTCCGTTCCTCTTCTGTCAAGTGCGTTAAATCGGGCAAAGGCGGTGCTGTTGGATGGCTTGAAGACATTGAAATAGTTCTTGTACAAAAAGGTCAAAATCTCTCCTCAAAATATACTACGATTTTAAACGTTTAAATCCAATCCAAAATTGACGCCGTATCCAAAATGTCACAAATTCGTATCGAGTCGAAACGCTTTCGTTCGCCTCCAAAATTTCCCCGAATTTTTAGCCATTTTAAGCCCGATTTTTAAACGACAGCCCTACATTGAACATCCGTAAATAAATTCGTCCAAAGTGCAAAACCGGCGCGGTCAAAAAGACATTTTAAGCCACAAACACAAGTTTTTCGAACGCTATCTTTCATTTAAAATTTTTTCATAAATAATTCCAAAACATGCACATGTTCGTTGAAGCAAAACATACCAGTCGTAAAGTGTCGAGACCTTTTCGGAGATGGTCGTGAAAAGCCGAAGATCGTTTGGATGCGTTTAATTATACAGCAATGTTTCGGTATTAATTTAAAGTATTAATCGCGACGCGATTTTTTTAGTTTTTGAAAGTTAATAAAACAGCCAATGAGAGCAAAGTTTGAAAGATATGTAGACTAAATAACTCAAAATGTTATAGCGCTTCTATAAATATTTGCAAAATTTAAACTAGGATCAAAGTTATCGGTCAGTGAAAATCGAAAAATCGCCTCGCGTTGTCGAATCGCGTCTGGAGTCCCCGGACCTTAAATGGCACGGTATAAAATTAGGTGTTTTAAACCTGAAGATGGAGTTATGCTCCAAAACGTCGTAATTAATAAACTTATTATTTGCTATAGAGTTCCGTCGTAAAAGACTTGTTCCCCCATTGAAACAAAGGTCTACAAAGGCCAGTAGCTGTGAAAATAATCATTCAATCATCAATCCAAAATCAGGAAAGGCTTTGTGTCCTTCGTCAATGCAATTCCTGCATTGAATCGTCATTTGTAGGAGTACGTGGTCAGTGCTACGTAGCTTTAATCAGAATATTTAGAATGTTCGTATTTCGCAAATCATTTGTTACGTCTAAAACAAACAAAAAATAACATAGTTAACAGGTGTAAGATCGTCACAGTACCTAGTAACGAACAACAACAACAGCAACAACAACAGCGACGACAACAAGAACAAGAAAAACATCAGCAGCAACAACAACACCAACAACGACAACAGCGACGACGACAACAACAACAACAACAACAACAACAACAGCGACAACAGCGACAACAACAGCGACAACAACAACAGCGACGACAACAACAACAACAACAACAGCAGCAGCAGCAACAACAACAACAGCAACAACAACAACAACACCAGCAGCGACAACGACGACAACAACAACAACAACAACAACAACAACAACAGCAGCAGCCGCAGCAGCAACAACAACAACAACAACAACAGCAGCAGCAACAACACCAACAACAACAACAACAACAACAACAACAACAACAACAACAACAACAACACCAGCAGCAACAACGACGACAACAACAACAACAACAACAACAACAACAACAACAACAACAACAACAACAACAGCAGCAGCAGCAGCAGCAACAACAACGACAACGACAACAACAACGACAGCAGCAGCAGCAACAACAACGACAACAACAACAGCAGCAACAACAACAACAACAACACCACCAACATAATTTTGGAATAGACTCGTTTCACATTATATCGTTAGAATACTTTGTTAGAATAATTCAAAAAAGTCAAGAACCTGCCTTGAAAAAAATTAACGACATAAGAATCCCGCTCGTTTTTCTTTCCTTTGAATATAGCGACCAATGTGATCCGTATGTCAGCTTTCGCGAGGAAATACGTTGTCTGAGCTCTGTCGTCAAAGAAATATACAATTTTTTCTTGGCCTAAACAATCTTCTCGATCTTGAATCAGTGAAACCATCGATGGCCAGTGTTTGTTGGGGCATTCCTAAACAGTAACATAAAATATTATTGGAATGGGTTCTGATATAACACTTAGCATAAAAATAGATTTGATTTGAAAATCTCCATGCCATCCAGTTCCATTGTCTTTTCATTGTTTTGAAAATCCCACTTCATGCCATCCAGTCATGATCCAGTGAACAGAATGTTTTCATTGTCATCACATCAACTTACACTCGGGTAGCTGAATATAGCAGGGTATGAATGTATCCCAGTAGGCATATCGATCTTGACATGAGGAAGATGGTACCCAGGCCCTTTGTATGACTCGGCCAGACCACGTGTATCCAACATCAGACAAATATAAGAAGAGTCGGCACGTTTGTGAAACGTCGCAATCCTGAAGAAAGAATAAATAGTGTAATTATTGTTGTTCTCGATAGTGGAGATGGTTGTTGTTGTTTGTGCTGTTAATGTTAATGTTATTGTTGTTTTTGTTGTCTCTGCTGTTGTTGTTGGTTATGGTTGTCGTCGTGGTCGTCGTCGTCGTCGTTGTTGTTGCTGCTGTTGTTGTTGTCGTCGTCGTCGATATCACTGTTGTTGTTCTTGTCGCTATTGCAGTGCTGTTGTTGTTGTTGTTATTGTTATTGTCTCTATTGCAGTGTTGTTGTTGTTGTTATTGTTATTGTCTCTATTGCAGTGTTGTTGTTGTTGTTGTTATTGTTATTGTCTCTATTGCAGTGTTGTTGTTGTTGTTGTTGTTGTTGTTGTTGTTGTTGTTGTTGTTGTTGTTGTTGTTGTTGTTGTTGTTGTTGCTGTTGTTGTTGTTGTCGTCGTCGTCGTCGTCGTCGATATCACTGTTGTTGTTCTTGTCGCTATTGCAGTGTTGTTGTTGTTGTTGTTATTGTTATTGTCTCTATTGCAGTGTTGTTGTTGTTGTTGTTGTTATTGTCTCTATTGCAGTGTTGTTGTTGTTGTTGTTGTTGTTGTTATTGTCTCTATTGCAGTGTTGTTGTTGTTGTTGTTGTTATTGTTATTGTCTCTATTGCTGTGTTGTTGTTGTTGTTGTTGTTGTTATTGTTATTGTCTCTATTGCAGTGTTGTTGTTGTTGTTACTGTTGTTGTTGTTGTTGTTGTTGTTGTTGTTACTGTTGTTGTTGTTGTTGTTATTGGTGTTGTTGGTGTCGTTGTGGTTCTATGCTGTCATTGATGGTGATGGTATTGCTATTGCTATTGTAATAGTTGTTGCCCAAACCTACTTGTTGACATAATCGATGTTCGCCTTGGCTGTAAGATTCTTCATGTCTGACTGAGTTGATTGTTCGCTGAGTGTTGCGTGAAAATACAACGAAAACTTGGAGACGAGTGTGGCATGAAATTTTGCCAGCCACTGGAACAGCAGTGGTACTTCAATTTGTTTTCTGGATCCGCCGCCAAATCTTTTCTTTACAGTCAGAGAACCTGTAATTGACTGAAGAAAAAAAACAACGAAATTTATTTAAACTGGATAGCTCTATCAGTTCTAAACTGTCTTCTTCCTAGAGGTCCAGTAAGAATCATCTCTTATTGATCCAATGTTACTACAGGAAGAAACCTAAACTAAACTAACTTTATTTATACTAGATAGTTGTATCAGTTCTGAACTGTTCTTCCTAGAGGTCCAGTAAGGATCATCTCTTATTGATCCAGTGTTATACTACAGAAGGAAACCTAAACTAAACTAACTTTATTTATACTGGATAGCTCTATCAGTTCTAAACTGTTCTTCCTAGAGGTCCAGTAAGGATCATCTCTTATTGATCCAGTGTTATACTACAGAAGGAAACCTAAACTAAACTAACTTTATTTATACTGGATAGCTCTATCAGTTCTAAACTGTTCTTCCTAGAGGTCCAGTAAGGATCATCTCTTATTGATCCAGTGTTATACTACAGAAGGAAACCTAAACTAAACTAACTTTATTTATACTGGATAGCTGTATCAGTTCTAAACTATTCTTTCTCCCAAGACGCGTAAAAGTTAACATGAAGTTTCATTTAACATAAAGCAGCTTACGTCTTTGACAGAAGATGCGGGTAACACTTTATTCCAGGAGAAAAGTTTGCCTTTGCTTTCGTGAAGATGTAATAACGAGGGAAGAAACTTCCAATCTGCCAAATCACACTGAGCTTGCAATATGTGAAGGAGCAAGTCCATTTCAACACTAAAACACATTGCGTACACATATTTGATGGTTGCCAGCAAGCGTTCCAGGACAGCAGATGATGGGCAACTTCAGAGATGGGCCTTTGTTAAGTTGAAAAATTTTCAACTTCGAAATTTTTTCCGACGGAAAATTTCTCCATTTGCCCAATGAAATTTTAGAAAATTTTCTTTCTGCGGAATATTTTCCTGAGTGGCAATGGCCACTGATGTCGACACTTATAGAAGTAAGAACATTAAACCACATCTCTCAATTCTGTTTATTTGCCACAAATACAAGACTACCACATATAATGAAAACCAAGTATTACAATTACATACTCATACTGTATGAGTGAACTAGTTTGCAAATGGTATAAACAAGGTCTATGGTTACGTCTATCTCATACCTGAATGAAGATTTAATTGGGTCCAAAATTGGATGGTGAAACAACTTGGAATTTCTACAAAATAGGAAAAAATTGTTTTAAGGTCGATTTACACTTCAAAACTTTTGCCTAAAATTGTCGCATGCAACCTGTTTACAACTTGAGTTGCATTGTGTAAATCAAGCACACGACTCACCTACGTTGTCTTTGCGAGTCGTGTGCTTGATTTACACGGCTAAAAACGCACAGGTTGTTCCAAGTTGATATTGACAGGCGTGAACAATGTTGTGCAGCCAACTATGAACAAGTTGTCAACCATGTTGTTCCAAGTTGTTACAGTTGAACAATGCTGTAACATGTTGACAATACTGTTCATAGTGGGCCGCACAACGCCACAACCTTGTTCATGCCTGTTGATATCAACCTGGAACAAGTTGTTGATTTTCTCCATTTTTACCCGTGTACACAATACAACTCAAGTTGTAAGCTGGTTGCATGCGACAGTTTTAGGCAAAAGTTGTGTGGTATAATTCGGCCTTTAAAACGTCTATAGTACAACATTAACTTTAACGCCTGTATTCTGAAAGCTCACTCACACTCAAAGAGTCGACTGAGGTTCAATCTGACCTTTCCTCCAGTGTCAGTGCTGTTCTTGAATAGCTGGAGGGTGAGCAGTCACATAGTAAGGAACGACACTAACGCCTGTAGTAAAAGCTCACCACACTCAATGAGTGGAGGTTCGATCTGAGCTTTCTAATTCCTTGAGTGTCACTGCTGTTTTTGAATAGCTGGAGGGTGAGCAGTCACATAGTAAGGTACGACACTGACAGTCTAACGCCTGTATTCTAAAAGTTCACTCATACTCAATGAGTGGAGGTTCAATCTGAGCTTCTCTTGAGTGTCAATGCTGTTTTTGAATAGCTGGAGGGTAAGTATAGTCACATAGTAAGGTACGACACTGACAGTCTAACGCCTGTATTCTAAAAGTTCACTCATACTTAAAGAGTGGAGGTTCAATCTGAGCTTCTCTTGAGTGTCAATGCTGTTTTTGAATAGCTGGAGGGTGAGCAGTCACATGGTAAGGTATGACACTGACAGTCTAACGCCTGTATTCTAAAAGTTCACTCACACTTAAAGAGTGGAGGTTCAATCTGAGCTTCCCTTGAGTGTCAATGCTGTTTTTGAATAGCTGGAGGGTGAGCAGTCACATAGTAAGGAATGACACTGACAGTCTAACGCCTGTATTCTAAAAGTTCACTCATACTTAAAGAGTGGAGGTTCAACCTGAGCTTCCCTTGAGTGTCAATGCTGTTTTTGAATAGCTGGAGGGTAAGTATAGTCACATAGTAAGGTATGACACTGACAGTCTAACGCCTGTATTCTAAAAGCTCACTCACACTTAAAGAGTGGAGGTTCAATCTGAGCTTCCCTTGAGTGTCAGTGCTGTTTTTGAATAGCTGGAGGGTGAGCAGTCACATAGTAAGGAATGACACTGACAGTCTAACGCCTGTATTCTAAAAGTTCACTCACACTCAAAGAGTGGAGGTTCAATCTGAGCTTCCCTCGAGTGTCAATGCTGTTTTTGAATAGCTGGAGGGTGATTAGTCACATAGTAAGGAACGACACTGACAGTCTAACGCCTGTATTCTAAAAGTTCACTCATACTCAAAGAGTGGAGGTTCAATCTGAGCTTCTCTTGACTGTCAGTGCTGTTTTTGAATAGCTGGAGGGTGAGTAGTCACATAGTAAGGAACGACACTGACAGTCTAACGCCTGTATTCTAAAAGCTCACCACACTCAATGAGTGGAGGTTCAATCTGAGCTTTCCTTGAATGTCAATGCTGTTTTTAAATAGCTGGAGGGTGATTAGTTGCATAGTGAGGTACGACACTAACCCTCCAGCTATTCAAACACAGCAATGGCACTCAAGAGAAGCTCAGATTGAACCTCCATTCTTTGAGCGTGAGTGTGCTTGTAGAATACAAGCATCGAAGCGTGGTTTCAGTTAAAATGTCCATACTTATTTCGTAATGTTTCTACAGATTTCGCCATCTCCGCGTAATTTATACCCGAAACATTAGATATGTTTACGTTCAGCCCAGTGGCAGCAAGGTTTTCATAGCTGTGCATGACTTAAGGATAACATCATTCTAATAAATTACGTTATTAGGAAGCCGGTACCTCTACACTTTTAAATATTCTTTCATGCCAAAATTTTATTGTCAATATATGTAGGTAAATAAAATTTGTTGTTGTTGTTGTTGTTGTTGTTGCTGCTGTTGTTGTTGTTGTTGCTGTTGTTGTTTTTGCTGCTGTTGGTTGTTGTTGTTGCTGCTCCTGCTGTTGTTGTTGTTGTTGCTGCTGCTGTTGTTGTTGTTGTTGTTGCTGTTGTTGTTGTTGTTGCTGCTGTTGTTGTTGTTGCTGCTGCTGTTGTTGTTGTTGTTGTTGTTGCTGCTGTTGTTGTTGTTGCTGTTGTTGTTGTTGTTGTTGTTGTTGTTGCTGTTGCTGTTGTTGTTGTTGCTGTTGTTGTTGTTGTTTTTGCTGCTGTTGGTTGTTGTTGTTACTGCTGCTGTCGCTGCTGCTGTTGTTGTTGTTGTTGTTGCTGCTGCTGCTGTTGTTGTTGTCGTTATTTTTATTGTTGTATTAATGGTTAAATATCGAGATTTTTTGGGCATCTCGTTCAACGCGACTAACAGTAGATGGATTTTTTTCGGACCGACCCTCTGGCAAGAACCTGCGGCTCGGCGATTCCGGTGCAACTGAGCTACAGGGGCCAGTTGCTGAACATCAACTAAGGATACAGTTTCATGCATTCTTGTCTAGCCTGTACAAACTGGTTAAGATGACGACATAGTTCTGCCAGCAGGCCATAACTTATAACTTCGGGCATTAAAGCCGCTGCTTGGCTTTGTCTGCCGGAACAAACTTCGCATAATTTTTCCAACTCTCTTTCGACTGTATGATAATATGAAATCAAGGACTGAAATACAGAAAATAAGAACACGATAAAGAGTTAAAAAACAATAGATAGACGGTTCTTTGCACATTTGCATATTAACAATATGCCATACAATCCTGTTTCAGTGATCGGAACGTTCCTTTGTCTCTTCATTGTTTTGAAAATCCTACTGTTCTCCATGCCATCCAGCCATGATCCAGTGATCAGAATGTTTCATTGTCTTGTCATTGTTTTGAGAATCCCACTGTTCTCTATGTCATCCAGTCATGATCTAGTGATCAGAATGTTTCATTGTCTTTTCATTGTTTTGAGAATTCCACTGTTCTCCATGTCATCCAGTCATGATCCAGTGATCGGAATGTTTCATTGTCTTTTCATTGTTTTGAAAAACCTACTGTTCTCCATGCCATCCAGTCATGATCCAGTGATCAAAATGTTCCATTGTCTTGTCATTGTTTTGCTATCCAGTCACAACAAACATGGCTAGGAAAAAACGTTTCTGCAACAATGTTTGCAAAGTCTCGATAAACCCCATACTCGGGTACACTCTAGATATTATTACTTATTTATTTCTTCACTCCTTACATCTTTTCTAAATCGTTTCTTCACCACAAACGAGAAAGACGAATATGTCTTCTCGGCCTCAGCAAGAACACTCAGACTGCTGATCAACATAAACCATGGGGAGATAACAGCAAGATAACCTTTTTTTGAGTTGCTCTCTTTTTCCTGATCAAGGAAATACCAGAAAATACATACTATTACTAGGCATGGTAGAACTACCCGGATATAAATATATATTATCCCTTTAAGTGGCATTGTAAATGCACCCTACTTTATTATTTTACTCTGTCAAACACCAGACAATTTTACTCTAATACTAAAAGGGTGTTCTGGCTGTAAAAATTGAGTTTTGGCATTTAAAAATTGAGTTTTGGCATTTGAAAAGGGAGCTCTGGCTTTTGAAAAGGTAGTTCTGGCATTTGAAAACTGAGTTTTGGCATTTAAAAAAAGAGTTCTGGCATTTCAAAAAGGAGTTTTAGCATTAGAAAACGGAGTTCTGGACTTCTGGCATTTGAAAACAGAGTTCTGGCATTTGAAAATGGAGTTCTGGCTTTTGAAAAGGGAGTTCTGGCATTTGAAAACAGAGTTTTGGCATTTGAAAACGGAGTTCTGGCTTTTGAAAAGGTAGTTCAAACATCTGAAAACAGAGTTTTGGCATTTGAAAAGGGAGCTCTGGCTTTTGAAATGGTAGTTCTGGCATTTGAAAACTCAGTTTTGGCATTTGAAAAGGGAGTTCTGGCATTTGAAAACAAGGTTTTGGCATTTGAAAACGGAGTTCTGGCTTTTGAAAAAGGAATTCTGGCATTTGTTTTCAAACTATGTAATTCGAATTCAAATTGTGTTATTCGAATAAAAGAAACATACTGTATATTGAGTGTAATTAGCACAACATAATTTCTATTTGAATTATGAACCTAATAAGGCTTCATAGAAAAGTTGCACTATCAAAGTTTCTGTGATCACAGTAGGAATTTTGCATTGGTAAATTCTAGGATTTGTGAGAAATGTTCAAGCCTCAAGGGAACTGAAACACATGTAACATTGGCAACAACAGTATGTAACACCATGTAACACTACGTCACACTTATATGTAACATGGTTTAACCCAGTGTAACACTAAGCGACCCCAACATACAGCAAGCAACAGATTTTCACTTACAGCCAATTCTTTGGCTTTATCAAATCCAAACTGACTAAGCACAAGAAAATATGTCTCGAGAAACGCTTGCTCGCTGCTCACTGAAGGCATTGGAGAATTGGATCGAGATGAAACTTCAGCTTCTATAGAAAAGAATGATATTTCACAAAATGGAGATTTTGTGGTATTGGGGTGAGGGTTGTGGGATCTGGATGGGCCCACCCACTAATTTTCTTCAAAACCAATTTTTCAGTTCTTACAAAGTTCTGGCACTGCCAGGGGGGGGGAGGGCCACTGCCCCCACTCTCAAAAATATATAAAAATAGGTACAAACTGTGTACAGGAATATTCTTGACAAGGACTAGGGTATGGGCTCTCATTTTGTTTATCCAGCCTGTTCGACCTGTTATGAAGAGCTATTCTGAGAGAATAATTGTACTCTGCTATCTGCCTATCCAGCATGCCATTAACAGAGCGGGAACCAGTTTGTGTCAAAGTAAAATTTATCATTAATATAGCCTACATAAAAACATATGTTTAATGTTTAACATACTTGGAGCTGGAGACGTCTTTCTCGATGCCATCCTTTCCCCCAAAGCAAAAATCGCAAGCTTTAATCGATCACATTTCACCAAAAAACTTTAGATCTCAGATTTCTCATTTCGGCCGCCATTTTGAATTAGATTATCTTAAATTATGTGCCCGCACGCTCGCACCGCTGGTTGATCTCGTGAGAGGAAAAAATTAAAAACAAAATATTTGGTTTCTCGAGTTTTTTGGGGAAAAAATTGATTTTAAATTTATATTTTTGTTTCGATCTTGGATCTGATTGCAGGGTATGTAATGTGAGTTTATATAGTTGTCGATCGTAGCACGATCGCAAGCTACAAGGCTGTCGATTGCCTTGTATTTAGTCCGAAAACATGAATGAGTAGAATGACAGTTTTGTTGATGTACGATTTGGTGGCTGAATTTACTGTTTTTTATCAATAAAATAATACACAATGTCCGTTATACGTTGCCAGTTATATATCTGATTCAACTTTCGTAAGATTCAGTATGCTTTGCGCATTTTAAATGCTAATTTTTGAAATTTGTGAGCGCAAAATTCAAGTGATTACAGTGTAAATGAAACTGATTTCTTGGGCCACTTTGGCACTTTCCTTAGTACATTAATGGTGACTTAATAGTTAAAGTTCAATTTTATAAAATAAACCTATCCCAAGCCCAAACCTTGCTCTAACCAGTATAGGTCTAATAAACAGTTTGAGAGTTGAAAAAAAATTGTTAAAAACTTTTGACAAAAAAATCCAAACTGGACAAAACAAACCCAGGCAGGATTCGAACCCACATGCTTCCACTGTGAAGACAATGCCTTTGACAAACACACCACCAGTACGCTCACCAATTGAGGTTCAGATTTGACTATACCATTACTGCTACCGCTCACAGACTTAATACGGATTTGATTGGTTAACCTGTTAAGCTGCAGAGCTTCCCCATTGACGAGTAAGATTGTCTGGCATTTAATAGACAAGTAAAAAAAAATAAGCAGGCCACACTGGGGTGCATTGCGGCCCAATGGGTTAATCAAGTAGATTAAATGCATCTGGTTTATTATACAGAGCACAATCTTGCTATTTTGCTTGAACTCTCCAACCTTAGGCCTAAAATAAAAATACCTGTGGTTCCGGTTTCTTATCGTGAAAAAATTAGGGTCGGTAGGTTGGAAATAAATTTTTTTGAATATTTTTTTCATGGTTTTGGCGGGTTTTTTTCCTGGACGTTTTGCAGTAGAGTCCCGACATCAATATTAACTAGAGCTGCATATTTCCTACATGGACGATTTTAGGCAATTTGGTTTAATAATTAGTGTGACAACAGACGCCATTTTGGCATGCTGTATGAGCAGCCTGCAACCACCCGGAGAAAATGGGGTTGCACGGTCAATCGCTTTGAAAAAATAATAGGGTCGGCAGAAAAAAATAGGGTCGGTCGAGAACCGGAACCACAGGTTCTTTCAGGCCTAAGTCAATTTTACTTGGCATATCTTTGCTAGATCGTTTTATTGTTAATCGTTGAAGAAAAGAGTGGTTTGTGTTCCAGTCAAGATTTAAAAAGATTGCTTATGAGCATATTTTATTGCGGATCCTAAAAGACATGGATGCATCAGAGGATAACATGAATCCAGGTATATATAGTTAAACTGTGAAGTATGTTTTAGCAGAGCTAAACAGCTAGATGTCAGGTAATTATCATGATGATCGTGGAAACTGGAAAGTTAACCCATTGAGCACCTGTGTTGTATTGCCACCACCTTGTAAATAAATCAATTTTCAATTTCAGGTATGCAAATTGCAACGGATCCGCTAAGTGCAAGGGCGAATGAAGTTCGAGCTGAAACCATGCAATGGAGGTCATATTTTAGGTAATCAAAGAGACTTTTCTCTGTCCATTGAGTTAAGAATGTCAAGTTTTCTACTCAAATAATAACTCAATTTTGCAGAAGCCAAATGATCTGTGAAAAAGATTTTAATGTCATTTCTCAATTCGATGTTTTGGTCAAAGAAAAAGATTATGAAATGGTCAAATCACGTCCTGAAGAGGTGTGGTTATTATAATAATCTGCTGGTCCATTAATAGACCTTTCCCCATTTGAGTGAAATTTGGACAAAAATTTCATCACAGCTTGAAAGAGCATCACAAAATTAGCAATATTCTGAAGTTTTTGCATTACAAACGTGAAATTGATAATCAGTTTGATCATCTGATTATCAATTTCGTGTTTGTAAATGTAAAATGACTGAAAAACGGCAAACTTTGCAAGGCTATATTATCCGCATTTTACAGCATTTCGCAACGAAACTTCAGAATATTACTAATTTTGTGATGCTCTTTCAAGCTGTGATGAAATTTTTGTCCAGGCATATCTAGATCAAAATTTCACTCATAAGGGGAAAGGTCTATTGTTAACAGTAATTAGAACTTTATTAGTGCTAATTTACTGTATAACAAAAATAACACTGTCTGATTAATATGTTTAGGTTTTATCAACAATATTTTCACTTCTTGGCCACCTTTCAAAGGATTTAACGGTTCAATATCTTTTAACATTACTGGATGATATGATCACAGTAAGTGTACTCAAGTTTGATGTAGAGGTTATTCATTAGAACATGCTTGTTATGCTAATTATTGATGGTACCAGTGCAAACAAAACGTGCAAGCTAGGTTGTTGTGAAACCGACATCAGGATGTGTTTCCACTGCTTGCTCCCAGTTGTTGTGAGTGTGCCAAGTCTGAAACAAGTGGTTATCACTTAGTTACAAGTTTGATGATAGTAACAGACTTACTACAAGTTGTTTCAACAGAACTAACCATCAACCTTGTGACAAGATGATAACGATTTGTTCCAAACTTGTCAACAACTGGGAACAAACATCTTTTTGGGAAGCTGTGAGTTTTTTATGTACCGTGTAGATGATGAAGTTCTTACACATAGATAAATGTAAAGTATGCCTACATTTCTATTTTTCCATTCTGTTTAGAATGACAAAGAATGTTTTAATCTCCTACAAGACTACAAGAAAAAGTCTGTTACTATTACTAATTAAATAAATATATATATACAAGTCATATGTAGTACTACCTAATGCTCTTCATGAGAGAAGCTTATTATGTCATTTTTGCAAATGATGTCAATATTAATTCTTTTTAAATATTAGTACTTACTTTTTTACTAAAATCTAGGACACAGACGTCACCTTGGTTACAGTTCTTTAATCTACTTCATCGACAAGATGAATTTATAATTTATCAGGTAAACTGGACGATTGCTGTCCTTATAATGGCATGTTACACTATTTCTGAATTTTGCTTCAACTTACAACACAATTTCTGACCTAGAGCCATGTTATCTGACATTTAGGGCCATGTTATCTAGAAAGTAGTCACAGGGAAATTGTGAGCATGGTTGACAGTTCAGTCTGCCGACATTTTTCGTCCCATTTTTCATTCATTTACGGTTCTTGAAACAGATCCTGTCAAACAGTTTTAACCAGTAGTAGTTTGAACCAGCACTTGCCTTTCAAGCTTGGAGACCTCTACTCAAGGTCTTAAAATAATTGAGGAGAAAGTGCTACCTTTACATTGGCATTACTCCATTAGTAAATGGTTAGACTTTTGCATCTTCTTGGATAAGGACGCTAAATCGTAGGTATCTCGGATCCCCCATCAATAGACCTTTCCCCTTTTAAGTGAAATTTTGATCTAGACTAGCCTGGACAAAAATTTCATCACAGCTTGAAAGAGCATCACAAAATTTGTAATATTCCGAAGTTTCGTTGCAAAATGTTGTAAAATGGGGATAATATAGCCTTGCGAAGTTTGCCGTTTTTCAGTCATTTTGCATTACAAACGGGAAATTGATAATCGGAAGATCAAACTGATTATCAATTTCCCGTTTGTAATGCAAAATGATTGAAAAACGGCAAACTTCGCAAGGCTATATTATCCGCATTTTACAACATTCTGCAACGAAACTTTGGAATATTGCTAATTTTGCGATGCTCTTTCAAGCTGTGATGAAATTTTTGTCCAGACTTGTCTAGATCAAAATTTCACTCATAAGGGGAAAGGTCTATTGGGCAATATAGCCTGTTGGGAAATCCGCTCACCAACGAGTGAGAAAATCGATAAACTAAACCGAACTAACTTCTATTTTTCAGTCTGCAAGGATCATAGCGAAGCTGGCGTGTTGGGGAAAGATTCGTTTGACACATGCGGAGGTTCTCAGTTATTTTGAGTGGCTGAAAGGTCGATTAAGCGCTGCAGTACGTTTTCTACAAGATATCACACATTTTTGTCAACTTTTTTTATATAAAACTGTTGATGATGGTCAACTTCGCAAATGTTAATACTTAAGCCCTGGGCAAACTAGGAAACATTGTTTCCTACCAATGTTTCGCCATGTTTCCAAGAGTGGGCAAACACTAGGAAACATTAGTGAGAAACATAGGGAAACATCAAATGTTTCTGAATTCGCTAGGAAACATTTTTGCTTCTCGGGAAGCAAATTTGTTTCCGCAACAATGTTTCCACGGGTGGGCAAACAGGGAAACATCGAGAATCACAAATGTTTCCACAACAATGTTTCCTAGTTTGTCCATGGCTTTATATATAGGAGCACGAATATTAAACTACATCTCACAAATGAATTCTATTTATTTACCACCAAATACAAGACTACTACATATAATGAAAAGAATGAACATTATTTTCTCACTCTGATAACTGCAGGTTGACCACCATCAGCTGCACGATACTGCTTTGTGAAACCCCACCTGTTGGTGAACTTGTTTTGCAACTAGTATAATAACTTTTTTTACAGAAAAACAAATTTCGAGAAAGTGTAGTCGAGTGTTTTCAAATTATGTTAAGAATTGATGAATATCGAGCGACGTTTGTCGAAACAGATGGAATTACTAGGTTAGGGACTATACGCGATTTTGTTCTATTATGTAAACTAACTTTATTTATACTGGATAGCTCTATCAGTTCTAAACTGTTCTTCCTAGAGATCCAG